GGATCCCCAAATAAGATCAGGGATATGTGTTGGTGATCCCAACAATAGGGGGAGAAAATGGACAGCTGAAAAAGTAATGCATGGAATAAATTATTATCTAGATCCTCGTAGGAGAAAATATGAACTTGAAGTCAAGTGATAATTCATTTGTAAAATATTGCCAGGCGTATTTGCTGACCCAAAGCTAAATGTTATATTTCAGCTGCTAATGCTCCAAATAGAATAACATCCCTGATGGACAGATTTTATGGCATGCATAAAGCGTAATAGACTAATCGGTTCCAAAGATAAAACTCCTTGTAAAAGGAGAGGAACAAATATTCAAGATGGTCATAATAAGGAGGCAAGTGCTCTAGAAGAGCACCACGGCATAGCACTTCATAAAACCTCATGGGAGAGGCTCAGGTACCTGAAAATAATGAGATAAAGAGATCTCAATAAGTTATGTCTTTATTAGGTAATAATGGAACCGATATAAAATGATCGCCGATGATATTATTAATATAATATGGCGCACAATATTATTAATATTGACGAGGATCTTGAGCTCAAATCTGTCATGAAATTTGGACAGATAAATAATTGGCCAAATAACAAATACGCAATGAAAAATGACTTCACCTGAAAAATGTGAAGTTGGACAGATAGTCCCAACACTTGAAAATATAAAGCCAGTGGAGGTTAAAAAAAAAAAGTAAAGTCGATTGTCACGATCCGGAATTTTCCACCGACGGAACTGTGATAGCGCCTAACATTTCACTTGCTAGGCAAGCCAACGTTAAAGAATCATTAAACCAATTCCTTATTTCCATTCAATAATTAACAATAATTAACTACGATGAAATATAATAAGTGTGGAATATCATAAAACTATATTCATTACTACCACCCGGATCTGGAGTCATAATTCACGAGCATTCTAGAATTTACTACAAGGAATAGTCTGAAAGAAATACAACTGTCTGAATGAAAGAAACAGTAGAACAGAAAAAGATAGACGGGGACTTCAAGGTCTGTGAATGCCGTCAGATCTACCTTGAGTCTCCGGACAGCGGACCAATAGCAAAATCTCGATCAACTCGAGCCGGTATCAAAACCTGCACAGAAAGTGCAGAGTGCAGTATCAGTACAATCGACCTCATGTACTGGTAAGTGTCAAGCCTAACCTCGACGAAGTAGTGACGAGGCTAAGGAAAGGCACCTACAAATCAACCTGTACAATTTAACAGTGTATATACAAATAACAGGAATGAAGAACTAAACAGGAAATGTCGGGAGGGGAACATACAGAGGGGAATACGATATAAAGAATAACAACAGAATGATAACCGGAGCAGTCAATATACCATGAATCAACAGGAATCGTGAAAATAGTAAAGGAAAAATGAACGGCATCACCCTTCGTGCTTTTACTCTCAATCTCACCATAAAATTAATAGAAACGGCACGGCATCACCCTTCGTGTATTAACTCTCAAATTATGGCACGGCATCACCCTTCGTGCATTAACACTCACAATATGGCACGGCATCACCCTTCGTGCATTAATACTCTCCCTTGCCATAATGCAATGCATAAATAACAACAGGGAGATAGAATAACAATTACAAACCTTACTTCAACATTTGGTTCCATAACATCATTCTCAACTTTGAAATAAAAACTCAGTTATCACCAGAAAATCCGTAAACATGATAAGAACGATAAATTGAACAACACTAGTATAACACATAGCAATTAGGCATAGGAATGAGACAATATAAGAAAAACTAAGAAACATGAAAAACATGTAAATTGGAGGCGCATAAGTACTCGTCACCTCATATATACGCCGCTCACATGAATTTCACTTAGCAAGTAATCTAAGGTTCCTAATTCCCCCAAGTCAGGGTTAGACACAACACTTACCTCACTCCGAATGCCACTTAATTATCAATCACAGCTTTTCCTTTGGAATTCACCTCCAAACCAGTCTTATCTATTCAAAAATGACTCAATAATATCAAATATTGCTTAAGAAATCAATTGTATTGCATAAATTAAATTCCCCAAATTTTCCTCCAAAAATTGAAAAATCGACCCCGAGTCCGCTTGGTCAAAACCCGAGGTTCAGACCAAAATCCTTTTACCTATTCACCCTCGAGCCCGAATATGTAATTAGTTTTGGAATCCGACCTCAAATTGAGGTCTAAATTCCCAAATTTCCGAAATCCCTAGTTTCTACCCAAAACCCCTAATTCTACCATGAAAACCTTAGATTTTAGGTTGAAATCTTATAAAATGTAGTGAAAGATTGAAAGAAATCAATTTAGAATCACTTACCTATGATTTGGGGAAGAAATGGTCTTTGGAAAATCACCTCTTGTGTTTTAGGTCTTGAAAATTTGGGAAATGAATGAAAATTTCCATCCAAAAGTCATTTTGATCAGCTGTAGATGTCGCATTTGCGACCTGAGTTTCGCAAATGCGAAGGAGTCATAGCAAATGCGAAGCCCTTCACACTTCTGCTGCCTTCGCAAATGCGAAGATAAGTTCGCAAATGCGACCTTAAATCTTCGCAAATGCGACTAAATGATCGCATTTGCGATCACTGCCCTTCCCCGACTCCCTTTGCAAATGCGAAAGAAAACTCGCAAATGCGAAAACTATTGGCCCAGCTTCTCTTCGCATTTGCGATCAGAAGCTCGCAAATGCGAACCTCTCAGAGGTCGCAATTGCGATGCCTGATCTGGCAAATGCGAGATCAGAGGCCTGCAATAATATCAGATGCACCAGCAGTGTTTTTCAAGCCAAATCTCACTCCGTAGCCTATCCGAAACTCACCCGAGCCCTCGGGGCTCTAAACGAAAGGTGCGCCCAAATCTAAAAACATCATACGAATTTGCTCGCGCTATCAAATCGCCAAAATAACACCTAGAACTACGAATTTAGCACCAATTCAAATGAAATTGTCAAGAACACTTTAAAATTTCTATTTTCTCAAATGGACGTCCGAATCACGTCAAATCAACTCCGTTTCTCACTAAATTTTATAGACAGGTGTTAAATATCATAATGAACCTGTACCGGGCTCCGAAACCAAAATACGGACCCGATACTAACAATGCCAAATATCAATCAATTCTTAAAAACAAATAATTTCTAAACTTTTAATTTTCATCAAAAATTCATAACTCAAGTTATGGACCTCCAAATTCGATTTCGGGCATACGCCTAGGTCCCATAATTCGACACGGACCCACCGGTATCGTCAAAATACGGATTCAGGCCCGTTTACCAAAAATATTGACCGAAGTCGTTTAAAATCAACTTTTAAGGCAAAATTTCTTGTTTTCATTAGTTTTCAACATAAAAGCTTTCCGAAAACATGTCCGGACTGGGCACGTAAATCGAGGAGGGTAAAAATGAGATTCATTAGGTTTAAGAGCGCAGATTCGAGTTCTAAAACATAAGATGACCTTTTGGGTCATCACATCGATAGACATAAAGACGACTTGTGTCACAAAGAAAATTTGTAAATATCTTGGCATTGATTATATAGAGACATGTTCTCCTATGGTGGATGTAGTCATTTCGGGTTTTAATCTAGCAATACATGAAAAACTTGATATGCGTATAATAGAAATCATTAAAGGATTTAAATTGTTCTGAAACATATTAAGGTTCCCAAGAATTTTATTAAATAAAGCGTTAGCAAATTCTTATGTAAATTAGAGCGATCATGGCGTGCATGCTAATTTTTTGTGTCTAGTGCAATTGATGCACTAATGTATCTTGCTAGAACTATGAGTATAACAATATACTAGAAAGATATAGTTTTATTCCTATATGAAGATATTGGAATACTATTGAGATTATATTGCAAAAGGAATCATTGATATAGATTTGTTTATTCTAACAAATACTGCCAAAGTTTTGTTGGTTATGCAAATGCAGGCATTTTCTGAAATTCGTTATTCAAACAATCTATTTGCATGTGAGGGTACTGTCATATTATTATTTCACAAGGCAATCAATTGTTGATACTTATTCAAGTCATGTCAATATACTAGCAACTGATATATCAAGTTACTCAACACACAACCGATGTGCGACTTTTCTTTGAAGAGAAGACTCCAATAATGGTGAAGACGATGATGTTTGCTTATCTCAATTGAAAGAAGGATATATTGAAGGAGACAGAATAAATCATATATTTCATCAAAATTCTTTATCAGACACAATCTTCACCGAACGGTAAAATAGATGTTCAATAAATTTGTTCGTTTGATAATTTGGTGATTCTATTCAACGAAGCATGATCAACCTCAACATTTGAGAAGTTGGTATACAGGATCGAAACACATCATCTAGATGAAATAAATTGATGTTTTCATCAGGGGGAGGCAAATACGTGTTGTACTCTTTTTCCCTTAGCTACGGTTTTATCCCACTGGATTTTTCTAGCAAGGTTTTTAATATGGCAGCAAGCAATATGTGTACTCTTTTTCTTTCATTAGGATTTTTTCCCATAGGTTTTTCTTATAAAGGTTTTAACGAAACATATTATCTATGAACATCCAAGAGGAGTGTTATAAAATCTTAAATAATGGTGGATATCCATAACCACCAAAAGAGTAATGCTCGCTATTCTTCATTATCTCTTTAACTTTCACTACTCTAATAATAATTACCTCTCCATGATCTTCACTAAAAATGTTTAATGACATATTTCTTCATTTTTCATGCCTATATAAAGGCCGTGTAACAGATAGAAAATATCACACAATTGAAAAGAAATAAGAATCGTTACTCTCTTTCTCTCTATATCTCTTAGCTTCTCCTCTCTCTCTATATTTCTTTAGCTTGTTTTTCCTTGTTCTATATTGCTACTTTGAGTTATATTTCATAATATTTTAGAGAATATATTATATCTTCTCCATAAGTCTCAGATAATTTATTTGGTGATCAACAACCCCTAATGAAACTTCCAATTTAAATTTCCATGGAAGGGAAATGAATTAAGAGAAAAAGAAAGAAACCTTTGCAACTTGAATACAGTACAATCATTTACAATTATGCAGCAAAGAGATTTACAGACATCTATTCACCGCAAACTAAACATTAACCTTGCTTCTGTTAGCCAGAACTGCATACAATTTAACAAGCTCTTCCTTCACCATGAAAAGTACAGAGGCTGCAAAGACGCTCTGTACTATCTTTGTGCGCATTCCCTGATAGAAGCTTCTGAATCCTTCATGACGAATCATCTTAATAACAGCATCTGCTGTACCTGAATATCTTAACGAGATATTTCCACCAATCTCCTGCTTGGCTTGAAGCCTAGACTTCACAACCAACAATGGATATGTCGAAACAGTTGCTCCAAGTTTAGCAAAGGCTCCGATTACAAAAACCTCCCAAGCAGTTATATTTTGTACATATTTCTTCTTTGCAGCGCGTTTAGTCCTTAACTGCTTTGACAAACTCTCATAAATCATGAACTGAATCGAGGGATTAGACACCATGATCAATGCTGGTATGACTCCTTTCCAAAATCCAATAACTCCGGATTCATCATAAATCTCACGTGCAGCTTGCAATGTTCCATAGGGATGAGGTTTGGATGAATCAAGCTCGGCCAGTTTTGCCTCCAAGGAAGCAGCAGCGGAGACATTTTCAGAAGCTTCCTTTAAAAGGGTTTGCTTTTTTGCCTCCACAATCTTCCTTTCTGCTTGAGTATGAGTCTGCATACGAGTAACAAGAATCCATATAGGATTTGTCAGCAACACGTTTAGTGATCCAGCAAGAGCTGCCACGACAAGCCAAGAGAACACTCCAACAGAGCCATCCCCTCGACCTTTTTTCTTATTTGCAGATGCTATTGCCTCAGCCTTGTTCTTGAAAACCTGGTAAAAATAATAGTACACACCCTGTGACACAGTGGTTCCAAGCAGCGAAGGCTTCAGGCCGCTGTAAAGCCCCAACAAACCTTCGCTTCTAACAACCTGCAAAATTTGAAAAAGGGCACTGCCTCGTGAATCCCGGCCCTTTTTTGCGACCCGCTCCGTTTGCTGCCGGGTATTCACCGTTTGGAGGGGGTAAGTAATTATTTGTGCAATTATGCCTCCACCAGCTCCAGCCAGCCCATTCGCCAAGGCACTCGACATGTTGAGCCTTTACTGTTCAGAGTAAGGACACTATTTGTGACAAGCACGTAAACTTCCTATGTTAATCTCAACAATGGTTAGTACCAAGTCCAATTCAACATTGACAATACACTTCAGGTCACTTGGTTTAGAAACAAATTATATATTGTCATACAAAGATTTAATAATGTAAGGATTCTGATGAAGGGATTTTTCACAATAACTAAGAATTGGATATGCAGTGTACAATTTAAACTTGTATCAAACTTTATCCGTGTATAATTAATGCTAGTATTGCTTATAACACATTGGCGTTGGTATAAAATAAAATAGGAATTGGAGTATAAAGCTATACATGTATTAACTACACAGGAATTGAAAATTGCGACCAAACATTGGATAAACAATGCATATATTTTACACCATTATTTTGTCCAATAAATCTAACCAAACATACCATTATTGGGTTCAAGATTGGAGATAGGCAGAGACTAAAGGAAAGGTATTTGACTTACTATTTAATGCTGCCACAGTGCTCATAATAAATGTATCGACAAACCTAGATGTCATCTCAATAGTTGGCATGCCTGAACTAGGTAAAACACCAAAATATATATATTCCATCTCATCTCAGAAAATATTTTTGATCAGATATGTCTTACCCAACTTATGCATGCCAACACTGAGATAACATCCAGGTACAACAATACTTTTGTGCAAGAATGGATGTATGATAATTACTTAAAAGATCGTCAAACCTAGATGTTATCTCAATTGTTGGTATGCCAGGGTCGGGTAAAAAAACCAAAACATATACTCTATAACTCTATATCATACTCAGAATATATATTTTGGGCAGAAATGTCTTACCCAATCACTCTATATCATACTCAGAATATATATTTTGGGCAGAAATGTCTTACCCAATCACTCTATATCATACTCAGAATATATATTTTGGGCAGAAATGTCTTACCCAGGCACACTAACAATTAAGATAACATGCGATATAACAATCCTTCAGTTTTTCTCTTTCAGTTCGCGGAGGCGCATAACTGGCTATTTAGGAAACCCTACTTCTCTAAAGGGGCAAGGGAAAACGAATATTTATAGAGGGGTACTAGGTTAAAGGTCTGACTTGGCATAACATGGGCTTCAGTTTTACATTTCCAGCTGAATGTGGGCTGGTGTTTTCAGTTTTAGCTTGTGAGGTTTTGGGCCGCAATTAATAAATTTTACTAATATTGGGCTAACGGTGAATTACAAGTTGCAGTCCTAATTCGTGCTAAAAGTTTCTGGATCAGCATTTTTTTATTTAATTATTTCTGAAAATGATGTTAGGTGGATATTTTTTAAAACATATTTATATTTTAATCCTATTAAGAAATATTTTGAGAAAATAGCCCCGAATCAAATTTTCAAAGCACGCTAGACAGGATTTTCTTCGATTGCTAGAATTTAGAAGCACGCTTTGCAGAATTTTAAAGCACATAGGAATTATGGTGATCGTTAGGATTCACCACTAAATTGTGATTATCAGTAGAATTTCGGTCACAAATGCTCACAAAATTCTGGTGATCCATCAGGATTTCATGATAAAATTTTGATAATTACGATAACTGGTGTGTACTTTAAAATTATGCCCAGCTTGTTTTAAAATCCTAGCGCTTAAGAAAAATTTTATGCAACATGCTTTAAAATTATGGCATGCGGCTTTTTAATAAAATATATGTTATCGGTATTAAAAAATTATTAGTGGCACAAAAGTATCATATTTGTGTCGTTTTCCCTAACCATTTGGTATTTGAAGATTGAGATGCTTGGTAAGGAAAAGTGCTCCCAAAGTCAATCCTAATGATAGTGGGATAACGATATGGGCGGCATTTGCACGAATGCTAGTATTAGGAAGTAGAGTGTCGTCATTGATTAATTATCTAGTGATTTGTATATGGGTGAAACCGGACCCATAAGCCGGCCCGATTCCCGATAAAATATATCGAGTAAGGAACGCGATGACAAGGAATCGGAATCGAGGTAAGGGACTCATCGAGTTAGGCACCGGGGGCACAACGTCCGCCCTCGAGTATATCGAGGCTATGAGCCTGGGATCGGTTCAAATCCCAAGAGCATTATTGGGCAATCGAACAGGATTAACAGAAGGTCATAATATCCGCGATCAACCGGGTATCACGACGTGGATCTCGGCAGGTACCGATGGAAATCCAGTAATTAGTTAAACGGGAGATTTTTACCTTTTATAGAATTGTACTTAGGGTAAAACTCTCCTACTATATAAAAGGGAGTCTAATTATTCATTAAACACATTATAACGCGCATCCCAAAGCAATATACTGTTATTTTTACTATTATTCATAGTTCTTGTCATACCCCTTTTTAGTGCTCGCAGTTCTTATTCTCGTTCATCAGTGCTAGCCATTGTGAGTCCGGATCGAGGGTGGATATTTCATCAAGGCTGGAATTATCCTCCTCACGTGGTTTGAATTTACTATATCTTTATTTGATTAATCTAACGCAATTTATCGTTGTATCGAATAAATCCATGTATCCTTAAAACCACTTACAAATTCAATTGTTATCCGTTTTTTAGGGTAAACGGTTTGGTGCCCACTATGGGGCTATGGATAATAGTGGCAATTTGATACAAAATTTCATAATGCATCATATTTTACACTTGTTCTTTGAAGTGTCTTTAATTTCATGTCAAAGTTCAAAATGTTGAACTCCCAATCTGCACCCCTAAATGTGGATAATGAGTCTGGTCATCATGGCGAGAACAACAATATGGTGCCCAGTAACGAGGTGCCCCTTGTCAATCCCAACGGAGTTCCAACTGCGGACTCAATCGACTCTAACTCACATGTGGCCATCAATGCGAACTTGCCTACCAATCCTTAGAACATCGTTCGCGGGGGAGTCCGATCAGTAGCCCAAAATACACACTACGGTGAAGGAGATGGGATCAACTTGCGAGTGATCTTCGAAATGCTACAGGCCCAACAGGCAGTGATAGCCCAGATGCAGAACCAGAGTCGTGCCCCCAGAAAGGTTGAGCCCGAGCCGCCCCCGGGAAATCGCTCATCAAAACGAACCAGCCTCGGAGAGGCCGAGTGATGCCGAACCCGGGACTAACCCCGAGATCATAAAAATGCTCGAGGAACTGACAAAACGGGTAGAATCGGGAGAAAAGAAAATCGAAGCCAATGACAAAAAGGTGGAAACCTACAATTCCAGGGTCGACCAAATCCCAGGAGCACCACCGATATTGAAGGGCCTAGATTCCAAGAAGTTTGTTCAAAAACTTTTTCCTCCAAGCGCAGCTCCGAAACCAATCCCGAAGAAGTTCTGCTTTCCTGAGATGCCTAAGTACAACGGAACAAACGACCTAAATGAACATGTGAACTCCTACACATGCGCTATCAAAGGAAACGACTTAGAGGATGATGAGATCGAGTTCGTCCTGCTGAAAAGATTCGGGAAACCTTTGTCAAAGGGAGCTATGATATGGTATCACAACTTACCCCCTAATTCTATTGACTCGTTTGCTATGCTTGCAGACTCCTTCGTAAGAGCACACGCCGGGCCATCAAGGTCGAGGCCAGGAAGTCAGACCTTTTCAAAGTGAAATAGAGAGATAATGAGATGCTCCGGGAATTCGTGTTCTGGTTTCAAATGGAACGAATGGACTTGCCTCCGGTCGCGGACCAAGGACTCAATAATCGAAGCTCATTGGCTTCAGAACAATTGAAGCAAAATCTGGTAGAATATCCGACTGTAACTTGGGCCGACGTACATAATCGGTATCAATCAAAAATTAAGGTCGAAGACAATCAGCTTGGGGCCCCTTCCGGGTTCGTTTATCCCGTCAGAGCAATTGATAAACTCAAGAGAGACATTGATCGTGAATCAAGATCAAATAGGGATCGGTATCAACCATACAATGGGGACCGAAGAGGCAATGGGTATGCACAAAACTCTGTGATAAGCGAAAGGAGAAGCGATCGAGGTCAAAATAACAGGGGACTCATGAGCAAAAGCTATTTTGACAGGCCCATCAGGCCTAAGGAAGCGCCAAAGTTATCAGAGTACAATTTCAATGTCGATGTTGGTGCCATCGTATCTTCCATTGGAAGCATCAAAGACACCAAGTGGCCTCGGCCTCTATAGTCTGATCCAGCCCAAAAGGGCCCCAACCTAATGTGTAAGTATCACGGCACTCGCGGCCACAGAACGGAAGATTGCCGACAATTGAGAGAGGAAGTAGCGCGGTTATTCAACAACGGACATCTCCAAGAGTTCCTGAGCGATCGAGCCAAAAACCATTTCAGGAATAGGGACTCTAATAAGCAGATCGAGCAGGAGGAACCTCAGTACGTCATTAACATGATCATCTATGGGGTCGATGTCCCCCAGGGACCGATGTTAAAGCATACTAAAGTGTCCATCACTAGAGAAAAATGGACTCGAGATTACGTGTCAGAAGGAACCTTATTTTTCAACGATGAGGACGTTGAAGGCATCATGCTGCCACATAACTATGCACTGGTAATATCTTTACTCATAAATAAATCTCGAGTTAAACGTGTGTTAATTGATCCAGTAGCTCGACCAATATCATCATATTGAGGGTCGTAGAGCAGTTGGGTCTATAAGACAAAATTGTGCCTGCAATCCGAGTTCTAAACGGATTCAACATGGCATGCGAGGCCACTAAAGAGGAGATAACACTACCGGTGAACACCACCAGAACCATTCAGGAAGCAAAGTTCTACGTGATCGAAGGGGATATGAGATACAATGCTCTGTTCGGGAGGCTATGGATTCACAACATGAGGGTAGTGCCCTCGACACTGCACCAGGTGTTGAAATTCCTAATGCCATGAGGGATTAAAATAATTTACGGAGAACAACCGGCTGCAAAGGAGATGTTCGTGGTCGACGAGGTGGTCCAGATATCCGCACTTCCTACACCAAAGGATCTGTAAAACATACTCTCTGAGAAACGAGGGGACTATCTGTATACGGGTGAAATCGGACCCATAAGCCAGCCCGGTTCCCAATAAAATAAATCGAGTAAGGAATGCGATGACAAGGAACCGGAATTGAGGTAAGAGACTCATCGAGTCAAGCACCGGGGATACAATGCCTGCCTCGAGTATATCAAGCTATGACCCCGATATCGGTCCAAATCCCAAAAGATTTCGGAGAGCATTATTGGGCAATTAAACACGATTAACGGAAGGCCGTAATATCCACGATCAACCGGGTATTACGGCGCGGATCCCGGTACGTACCGACGGAAATCCAGTAATTAGTTAAACGGGAGATATTTACTTTTTATAGAATTGTACTTAGAGTAAAACTCTCCTACTATATAAAGGGGAGTCTGATTATTCATTAAACACATTGTAACACTCATCCCAAAGCAATATACTGTTATTTTCACAATTATTCATAGTTCTTATTCTCGTTCATTAGTGCTGGCCATTGTGAGTCCGGATCGAGGGTGGATATTTCATCAAGGCTGANATATATATATCGCTGCTATGATCTTTTTTTAATAAACTCTCGGATGATTCTTTTGACTCATACAACCAAAATCTTAGCATATAACTACATAAATTAAAGTACAATACAATGAGAAGCGGATCCAAGATTCGATGGTTATGGGTGTCACTTTTTATTAACGTAAACCTAGCATTAGTGAAGAAGATTGAATTAGGGTGTACATTTTATTGGTTTGATTTTTGAACTAATTTGGTTCGCTTTGGTTTGGTTCGATTTACTTTGAATTGATTCAGTTCGATTTAGAAGATTTTTGGTGTATAAATAAATATATGACCATCAAATCGAATAAATTTTATCCAAAAGATTTTAAAAATCGGGAAAATAATAAAACTATATGGATAAAAAGAGAAAATATTAAAATCACATTCAAATACAATATTGAAGATCTATGCAAAGAAATACAAGAAATAAAGAAAAAGCAACAGAAAGTAAAGAAAAGAGAGTGAGCAAGGATTGATCCTGCACCTTGCATTTGGAATG